ACAAAATGGGAAAAAAATATTACAGGTTGAAATGCCAAAAAGGTAAATCCAGAGCAAGAGAGTAACTTCACAACAACTGCCGTCAGTACTTCAGAAGAATAAAATGGTTTGGCCACAGAAGCTATAAAGGTATCTGGAAGAAAGGAAGGAAAAGGTTAAAAAAAATGAAATGAGATAAGGGGGAAAAATTGGAAGAATAATAAATAGCTTAGGAAATAAAGTAGAAAACTTTACCCAAGTAGTGTGCTTCCTGAAAAATAGAATGGAGCAAACAGAATTCAACGACTTTACAAGAACTATTGTCTCAATTTTTAGTTGATTCTCTAATATTTTCCAAATAAACCAGAATATATTAGCAAATAGGAATAATTCTTCCTTCCCTTTGCCGCTGTTTATTCCCTTAATTTTTCTTATTTTATTACCATAGCTAGCGTTTAAAATACTTTGTCAAATGATAATGCTAACCATGCATAGCCTTGCTTTACTCCTGATCTTATTAGAAAAGCTTCTAGTATAATGCTATCTCTTAACTTATGATAAATGCTTTTGATAATTTTAAAGACCCTTTGATTTCTATCCTTTTAGCATATTTTTAGTGTAAATGAATGCTATATGTTAGCAGAGGACTTTAATCCATCTGTTGATGTAAATATGGCTTTATTTATATTTCTTATGCTAATTGTTTTTCTGTTAATGAAGTATCTTTTCATTCAACTTAGTCCAACTTAGTGGCAACTAATTTTTTTATGTATTAATACAATTTTTTGCCAATTTTTTTCATCAGTGTTGATTAGTATAGTTCCTTCTCTCTTTTATCCTTTCTGATTTGGAAACCAGGATCATACTTGCCTCATTGAAAGAAGTTAGTAGAGAGTGTCTTCATCTTCAATTAAAAAAAAAAACTTCTTAAAATTAATTATTTTAAATGACTAATCATTTTTTCTCCCTCTCACCTCAGGGACAGGGGGAGAAAACAGAGCCCTTATAACAAATATGCATGGACTAACCTTAAATACTTTCTTTAGAAAACTAGTCACAGAGCCATTATGTGCTGCTGGGATTGTTTATTTTTATTTTATTTTTTTTTTTTTTTAGGCAATTGGGATTAAGTGACTTGCCCAGGGTCACACAGCTAGTAAGTGTCAAGTGTTTGGTCTGAGGTCAGATTTGAACTCAGGTCCTCCTGACTTCAGGGCCGGTGCTCCACTGCGCCACCTAGCTGCCCCTAGTATTTAATAGAATTCGATTGTAAATTCATCTGTAACTAGAGGGTTTTTTGTGGGAATGCTATGACTTCCTCAGTTTCTCTTTTTAAAATAACTAGGTTATCTTTTTCTTTTTAAAAAAAAATTTTAGTATTGTACATTATTGTAGGTAATCATTCATTTCCTTTAGATTTCTAGGGTTTTTTGTTTTTGTTTTTGCCGTAAGTGGCATTGTATTTTATTATATTCAGTGTTGTAGTTTCTAATAATTTCTTAATTTCTTCTGTTGTGAATCTTCCTTCTTCATTTTTTATTAGGTCTAGTGTTCTTTTTCTTTGACAAAATTAGCCAAAGTTGTGTTAATATTGCCCCAGACCCACTTTTTGTTTAATTTTAAAATGTTCAGTTCTATTTGTCTTACTTTTATTTTTTATAATGTCATCTTTTGCTTTTGTTTAAGCATTGTTGGGTAACTATGATATGATAGACAGAGTGCTAGACTTGTAGCGTAGAGCTGAAATATTGACTCTGGACACTTTGAATCTCTACTTTAGATGTGTTTTTTATAAGCTGCAAATAATAGGGTTTTGTTTTCTAATACATTCTGCAGTTTGCTTCCTTTTTATTAGTGAATTCAGCCCATTGACATTTCAAGGGTACAGTTGTTGATTTGGTTTTGCTGTACAACCAAGGCATCATAACTTCCTATTTTAACTGTTCAATTATTAGTCATGGTACATTCATCTGTCCATCACTCCTGCCCTCCCCAAACACAGTTGAAGCTTATCTTACTTTAAGACAGTCCAGTCTTAAACAGTCTTCTCCTTCTTTCCCCTGTTCATACCCAGGATAGGTTCCAGGACTCCACTTTTATTGACAGAATCTTCTTTTTAAAAAAATCACCCTTCCCTGACTGTATGCCAGATAAGAGTTTGGTTTAGGAATCATCCTACTCCTCTACCCCCCACTCCATCTCTTTGTTTGATTAACCTTCATTTAGAGTATTTAATTTAAAGAAATATTATTTTATAGCTCCTCCTACTTGTCCCCATCAGATCTGTAGCAGATCTAGTGCATTATGTTCTCTTTTCAGGGGCTCTGGCCTTTGAAATCTTAGCCTTTTTTTTTTCCAATGATTTTACACAGAATAGAAGTTTAAGTGTCTTGATTGATATTAGTTATGACTTAAAAGCTACAGTTGAATAATGATTTCCTTATAACATGTTAAAGTTAAATCATCCTTTACTTCTTATTGCATTCAGTTCTAGATTATCTAGTTTATATTTCATTTGTTTGGTTCGTGTGTATATCAGATGCCCTGCCCAGTTCTGGAAAGAATTAAAGTCTCTGACCTCATGAAGATCCATTTTTTCCTATGATAGAGTATGCTCAGTTTTACAGGATAACTAATCTTGGAGTGTAGGCTGTTTTCTCTTACAGTACATCTCTTTTCCCCCTCTTTAATTTCTTGTCCTCATTCCATAGATTTTCGTCATTTGAATGGTGCTTGTTGATATAAAAACTGCTTGAAAGGCTCACTTTGCTGTGAAGCCCTGGAAGTTGTCAACTGCATTTCTCAGAGTCAAATTTTATGCTCCTCTTTGTCAGCAACCTATGGATTCTGTAAATTTTTGCCCTTTGTTCTCAGTTTTTAATATTTCTAGGAAGTTTTCTTAGATTTTTTAGATATGGTATCTAGTGCTATTGTTTCTTCTTCCCTCCCTGCAATTTTTCTTTCTTTTTGAGCCACTTTTATATTATTGAGTTTTTTCACCATCTTTTGTCAGTTCTCTTGTTCATCTTGCTCAATTCTTCCTTCAGCTATCTTATTTCTTATGTTATACAGACCCCATCTTCCTTTTTATCTCTCAATTGTGATTCTGAATTACATTAGAGGTTCTTGCAATAAGTTCATTCTCTCTTCTAGAGGCAAATTAGTTATTGTAATTTTGTTCTTTCTTGCTGCAGACTTGTCCTTGCTTTCTCATACCACATAGCATTTATTCATTGTTTTGGCAGCTATTTTTTGCTTATTCATTTCTTCCTTTCTTTCTGTTAATTTTCCTGTAAGTATTTCTTTCCTTTTCCTTTTTATTTCATTTTACTTTATTTGTTATATTTGTTGTTGTTCTGAGGTAGTTTGGGGAAGCTGAACTTAGGTATGACCACTTGTTCCACCGCCTTATTAGAAAGACATTTAAATGCCTGGATTTAAATAGTTTAAATAAAACAGACATGGGCCAGCTAGGTGGCACAATAGATAGAGTGCTGGGCCTGAAGTCAGGAAGACTCATCTTCCCAATTTCAAATCTGACTTCAGACATTTACTACCTGTATGACCCTGGACAAGTTACTTAACCTTGTTTGCCTCAGTTTACTCATCTGTACAGAGAGCTGGAGAAGGAAATGGCAAACCACTCTAGAATCTCTGCCAGGAAAACCCTAAATGGGGTCACAGAGTCCAACACGACTGAAAAATGACTTAATAGCAACAGACAGTTAAGTGTCTGTTATATTGTCTAAAGAATGAGTCTACCTAGGGAGCAGAACCTGAAGATTTTGAAAAACTTTTCTATATTATCTGTAATAAGCTTTTCATAGTCTATGCCAAAGGCTGTCAGTCTGGGTAAGGAAAGAGAAGTCTTTCTCACTCTTTCTGCTTCTTCCTGACAAGCAAAGAGAGATAATGCCTTAGGATTATGGGGAGAAATGACTGCATAGTCATTAACTTTCCTTTAATGCTAAAGGGTTATCATAGGTAATTTATTGGCCTAATATGAGGTAGTACAGTATAGTGAGTTAAGTGTTAAGCTTGGAGTGAGGAAAACAGGGTCCAAATATGTATTAAATGCCTAATGTGACCCTGGGGAAGTCACTTAACCTTTGTGTGCCTCAAGCGACTCCATGAGATTTTTCTGCTAAGTTAGAGTTGATTGTACTCTATTTTGATAGAGGGAGATAAAATAACAAATGTTTTGCCTGTTTGTAGTATGGTCCATTTATGTCAGGTGGACTTTGGATCTAAAAATATTTAGATTAATGACACCCAGTGTCACACTGCCATCATCTACTCTGACTGTCAAAGTTGCCATATATAGATTAGGGAAATTCCTTAATAATGATAATCTTGTAACTATTTAGTAATTCTTTCAAAATATTCTGAAAAGAATGATTTTCTCTTCATAGCTACTGCCACCATGTGACAGTTCTGAGCCACTTTTTAAACCTTTGAAATAATATATTTTTTCCGGAATGTACTCAGGACACTGTGGTGCAATCTGCTCAACATTAAATTTGTAGTTCCTTCTTTTTAAACTTTTAAAACTTAAACTCTTCTTTTTAAATAAGCAAGAACAAAAATTGAATGTACTGCATCTCTTAGAAAAAAGGAGAGATGTTGGGGCAGCTAGGTGGCGCAGTGGATAGAGCACCGGCCTTGAAGTCAGGAGGACCTGAGTTCAAATCCGGCCTCAGACCAAACACTTGACATGTACTCACTGTGTGACCTTGGGCAAGTCACTTAACCCCAATTGCCTCACTTAAAAAAAAAAAGAAAAAAAGAAAAAAGGAGAGATGTGCTGATCTAGCGAGGGTCAGCATGAGAATGGGCTCATAGTGGCATATTATCCATATGTGTCCTTGGGAGGAATGGTGCGAGCCATCTTATTTTAATTAGTGGATTAGTGTGGTTCTCCCCTATACTTGAGGACCCCAATGAAGACACTAGATTCTATCTCTCTCTCTCTCCATTTTTTAGATAAGTCCTCTGGACTCTCTTCACCTTTTGTTTTACAGAAGAGGATGTGGAGAACTTTGATGTGACAAACTTGTCTCAAGATATTCTTCGAAGCATTGAAGCAGACAGTTTTTGGTGCATGAGTAAGCTGCTGGATGGGATACAGGTGAGCTTTCCCTGGGTCCAAGTCAGGATGACACGCCTCTGCTACTTACTAGCCTGTCCTTCCTGGATGTCCTTCCTTTTCATTCAGGGTCACCACTTCAGCAAAGCCACTGTTGCTCCCTTCCTCTTTTCATCAAAATAAAGCAACTTCTGAAAGAAAGGTAGAATAGTTTACTTGATATTCGAAATCTCCACATGCTTTTTTCTATCCTGATGCCCTCTGACATTAGAATGTGAGGCAGTCCTGTCTCATTAAGACCATCAGCCTTATTTTTAGGCCCAATCCCCTTCCTTTTCTCTTTCTCTTTTATAGGTTGGTTGTTTTGTGTTAGGTACCAATCTTTTACACATAACCCAGACTCAGGCCTGCCTTTGTCCCTTCCCAATTCCCGATCCAACATCTGGATCAGATTCTTTGTTGACTGTTACTGACCCAACTAGTCTTAGCTTGGGTCTTTAGTTGCCAGTGGTGAATTGACCTCTGCCATCAAGCTGTCTGGAAGAAGAGAGATTGGGGGGGAATGAAAGAAGAAGTAAGACATGATCAATAGTGAGATCAGTCCTGAAGACTCAGCTTCAGAATATTTGGCTCGCTAGCACCTCTTCATATAAATGTGGCTGTCCATGACAAAGTAGGTGAATTGCACTACCTCATTGAATCAAAAATGAGATTGGGAGTGAGGAAAGTCTGCTTTATGCCTTGGTGTTGCTGCTACTGATCCACCCTCTAAATTGGACCACCAGAAAACATGCCCAAGATGTGCTAAACCCATCAGTTCCACTGATATGTGGGGGACCACTTGTCCTCATCTTTACTTTAGCCATCTTTTTCCCTGCCACCGTAGGTGTTTTCCTTCCTTCCTTCTCTCCTACTTTCCAAGTCTTTCTATAATCAGGTCAAAATTATCAAAGGCATGTCATTGGACTGTCCTTTTTATCCATTTACTGTCTGTCCAGTGTCCCAAACCAGAATAACTCTTTCCTAGCTACCACTCCCCTCTATGTATTGTCTCCTTAAAGACAGAGACAGTCTTTCTTTTGTATATATATCCCTAGTGCTTAGTACATAGTAAGCACTTAATACATACTTTTTGTTCATTCATTCATTTGTTCATTCGTTCTAGTGCTGGCTTCAGCACTGAATTTCTTTGAAGCCATATTCATATTACTCATAGGGCCTAGTTTTTCTATGTACAAAATAGTATCGTAACTCCTGCCCCCATTATGAGTATAGATGAGCAATAGTTGTTTTAAAAAAAAATTTAGAAATGGGATTTAGGGGCAGCTAGGTGGCACAGTGGATAGAGCACCAGCCCTGAAGTCAGGAGGACCTGAGTTCAAAAAACAGCCTCAGACCAAACACTTGACACTTACTAGCTGTGTGCCTCTGGGCAAGTCACTTAACCCCAATTGCCTTAAAAAAAAAGAAGACGAAGAAGAAGAAATGGGATTTAAATAAAGGAGAAGCAGCCAGGAAGACCTGGGTTCAAGTCCCCACTTCTAACATTTATTGACTGTGTGACCCTCTGCAAGTCATTTAACCCCTCGGTATTCTAGACAGGTCTCTAAGGCTGCGTTGCAAAGAAGGTGCATTGGTAGAAGGAGTAGAACTCCCCCTGGAGTTCCTTGGGTATAGTCCCTATCTCCTATTTAGATAAGAAGCAATATAATGGATAACAACCAGCCTTTGGGTCAGGATAACCTGGGCTCATCTGTCAGTATTCTGGGCAGCTCTTTAAGACTATAGGTAGGGGCAGCTAGGTGGTGCAGTGGCTAGAGCACCGGCCCTCAAGTCAGGAGCACCTGAGTTCAAATCCGGCCTCAGACCAAACACTTGACACTTACTAGCTGCGTGACCCTGGGCAACTCACTTAACCTCAGTTGCCTTAAAAAAAAAAAAGACTATAGGTACAGTGTAACTGCTCATTTGTATTGGTGGAGGGAGCTTTAACAGTCAGAGCTGAGTACAGTGATGAAATCTTAGGACCACACTCACTTATCCTCCCTCTCTCTTTTTCTCCCAATGTGTGTGTGTGTATATTAAGTTGTATCTCATAGATTTATAAGCACTTTAGCAGTTCCAGAGGAGAGGAAGGTTAATGAGGGCTAGAACAGCACAGTACGGCTTCAGGTAGGAGGTAGGACTTAATTCTGACCCATCGTGGGTACATGTTCAGCAAGTAATAAAAGCTGGAATAGAAACAGTTAATGAAAATTATTGCTAAAATATCCTATGAGTAAGCAATCTTAGATTGTTGGCAGAGAGTTAATAATCCATGATGACAAGCTGGTGCTGTGCTTCTTAGTATACCTAGATCAGAATAATGCTTTTATTGGTGCTCCATAGGATAGTTTTTTGAGAGTCTTGATTCACATAGGAGTACAGCACAGGTATTAAATGTTTGATGCCATACCAAAACGATGCTTGAGCCCAGAATTTTATCTGTCACAGAAATTGATTGTAACACACCCATCCTTAATGATCGAATGATATCATGATTCATGCTGAAATCCTGTTGATTTAGTGGTGATAATGATAGAAAGTCGGCAGTGATGTGAGCCAAGTCTTGAATTTCTTCCACTGTAAAATTAAGGAGTTGGACTTTTCAGCTCTGACTTTCTGAGTTCTGATGGTTCTGTGAAGAATGAAGCAGGATATGAATAGATAGGAAGACAGGTGAGGGAGTCAGTATCAGAAAAAAGCACAGAAGGGAGAATGAGCATGGTGTGTACATATTAAAACAGATTATCTTTTTAGTCCTCCAGATCATTACAATGAACCCAAACCTTCTTTTCCTCCAACTTTTTTTCCTTTCTTAAGCTGTGTTGCTAACATATTTCCTTGTGGGCACCTCCTTTCCTTTATTTGGCCTAAGCTGTGTCAGTGAATAATGCTCCAGATTACATTGTTCCCAAGAAAACTCCCATTGATCATTAGTAGCATGGCTTGGGATGATGAAAATTTGAACTCATTTTTTATTTAAATGGCATCTTTTAGAGTGGGAATGCAATATATGTTATGATCTCCATGGTTATTTTTGAGTAGTGCTGTGGCCAGCAGTACCCAGACCTCTTTTAATCTTGAATTGTGTCATTGCAGGATAACTACACCTTTGCCCAGCCAGGGATCCAGAAGAAAGTCCAAGCACTGGAAGAGCTGGTCAGCCGGATTGATGGTAGGTCCAAAGGACGCTGGATTTCCATCCAAACTAATCATCTTTAACACCACATCTTCCTATGGTTGTCACCCTTTCCCAATCTATCCATTTTCATCAATGATACCATTATCCTATTGTTGTCTCTCTGAGCTTACAGTGTCGGTGACATGACAGACTCTTTTCCTTGTTTTCTGTTACAAACTCCTAAATATTCTTTTTTTTTTAATTTTTCTAAAGATTTAATGATACCTTTTGTCATTATATTAGTCATTTATTGAACCCAAACTCTCTCAGATAGTACCCTTCGATGCAATGATAGGACAGTAAGCAAGAAATGGAAGCCAGCAAAAAAAGCAAACAAAAACAAAAAACAAAAACAATAATTTGATGAACCCAAGAGCATAAATCATCAGGGGAAGGACTCCCTTTGTAGACCGCGCCCCCCCCCAAAAAAAAAGAAAAGAAAGGAAAAGAAAAAACCATTCTGTGAATTCCTAAAAATTCTTAACCTTCAGCATTTCTTAGACGTATTTCTTCCTATCCACTTCCATAGCCATGACTCTGGTCTACGTGTTATTAATTATATATCTAGATGGCTGTAACTTTGTCCTAGCAGATCTCCCTACCTCATACTTATCTCTCTCTAAGCGAATTAACACGTAACAGCTAGCATACTCTTTTTTAAATTGGTGTTTTTTTCTTTATTTCATCACCTTGACTTTCTACTGGCTCCCTTTTCTCCATCCCACAGTAGAACCCTCCCGTGTAATCAATAAGTGAAATGAAGCAAAACAAATCAATATATTGGCTATATCTGAAAATATATATGTTTATAGTCTACTGCCTCTCTCTCTGAGAAGTGAGGAGCATGCTTTACCCATCAGTCCTCTGAAGTCCCCATTGGTCATTACCTTGAGCAGAGTAGAATTATCTTTCCAAAGCATAGTTGTATCGTATCATTGTGCTATTTAGAAATCTTCCGTAGTTTCCCATTGCTTTTTATATTAAGTCTATTTTAGCTTTTGAGTCATGTGATAACCTAATTCATAACTTGTATATAATTCAAAGTGATAGGAATTGGTCACTAAGATGATACTACTCTCGGCAACCCCAGTTATATACTCTGAAGAAGAAAGCCATAGTTCTTATGTATAATAGTTTCTGATGGCTCATTTCTTTGTCCTTATTTTATATCTCTTGCTTATGGTTCCTTTTTTAATGTCTCCTGTTTTATATCATTAGCACCATCAGGAAAAGGGCAGGGAGAATTTTTGTGAGGATCAAATGAGATACCATATGTAAAATATTTCACAGACCTTAAAACACTGTATAAATATTATCTTTGACATTATTGTTGTTATATCATTATATTTTCTATCCTCTTAAGTGCCTAGTACAGGAAGTGCACACTCAGAAAACTCTTGTCCTTTGCATAACTGCTGGTTCCAGGGATTCATTAGGACGGTAACACTGTGTGACCCCCTTTCATCACTGGATATCTGAGACCTGACTGAAATGGGGTGGTCAGTTTTTGTTTTTAGCATTGACAGTTTGATAACAGAGAAATGGTGTTTTAGAACAAAGATTTTTAATATAGCTGTTAAATAATATTTGAAGGCCATAGCAAAGAAAAGGAAGGATCAATCAGATTCTGTATTCCTTTAGAATGCCAAACTTTATTGCTCTATCCATCTAAAAACCCCAAGGGATAGAAGTTAAGTAAAGAGGTAAATTTCCACTCACCATAAAGAAGACCTTTGCTATAATAGACATGTCCATTAATGGAACCAACTGTCTCAAGAAGGAATAAGTTCCCCTTCACTAGAAGTATTTAGGCAGAGGACCATTAACCATCTGTCAAGCAGGCTGTAGAGGTTATTCCTCACCAAATCTGACATTAAATCAGATGAGCTCTGAAGCTCCCTGAAATTCTTTGATAATATCAGAAGTTTGAAACCACTTCTTAATTACTTACCCAGGGGGTTTAACAACACCTAAAACTTTTGTCTTCCATTTTACGATTGAGACACTCATACTGAGGGGAGGGTAATTATAACGTGTGAGGGAAGCTGGTAAATTTTTGCACTTACTGAATAAGCGACTTAGGATGGATTTATTCCATGGGCTGTGCCGGTGTGAAGTAACTGGGAGGGAGAATGTTGGCATAGAATGAAGGGGAAGGAAGCCTCCTGTCCATCTCTAACTTAACGAAAGTAATGACTTGTTAATCCTCCACTCTTTGCTTTCCCTCACTTCCCGGGTCCCTTCGACTTCAACAGAGTTTCCCACACCCCCTGTTCTCCATTCACAGCCACAGTCTCATTTAGTCCTGCATTATCTCATGCCTGGATTACTGCAGTAGGTTCCTAACAGTTCTCCCTTCCTCAGGCCTCCCTCTTTTTGTCACTATTGTGTGCCTCAGTTTTCTCAACTGTAAAATGGGGATCATAACAGCACCTACAGGATTGTTATGAGGATCAAATGAGATGATAGTTGTAAAGGGCTTAGCATGGTACCTGGCACATAGTAGGCACCATATAAATGCTTTCTCCTTTCTCCTTTTGCAGTCCAACCTCAGATATTCCCTAAAGCAAAGATCTGACCTTGTCAGTTTACTACTGAAAAACGTTGCAGTGGCTGTCTGTTCCCTTTCGGATAAAGTACAGACTCCCCATTTGCTGTGGTCTCGCTCCAGCCTACCTTTCCAGGCTTTCCCCCTCAGGAAGAGTTCATTCCAGCCAAACTGGCTTACTTAACTGTTTCTTGTACAAAGCAATCCATCGCCTGTCCCAGTGTGTTTTCATAGGCTGCTCTTCATGCCTGGGTCCTATGCCCTCCTCACTTTTCGCCTCCTAGAATCCCTAAGTTTCCTTCAAAACAGCTCAAATTCTCTTCCCCACACTAGTCCTTTTTAAATCTTCCTCTGCTGCTGGTGCTGCCTGCCCCTCAAATTACTTTGTATTCACTTCATGTCTATTTTCCATTTACTTATATGTGTAAATGTTATTTCTGCTGCTAGAATGTAAGTTCCTTGAGATGTGACACTGGTTTCCTCCCCCCTCTGGGGTTGAATATAGCACCTAGTACATAATATTAAGTGTTTGTCAAACTAACTAATTGTCAGATTCCTCAGCAGGCCCAATTCCATAGGTTATACTGTTGAGCCCAATGGCATTTTCTTGTTTTAGAACAGGTACACAGTCACTTCAGGAGGTACGAGGTTGAGTATCTACAGTTTGCCTTTCGGTGGATGAATAATCTGCTTATGAGGGAGCTGCCCCTCCGATGTACCATTCGGCTGTGGGACACCTACCAGGTACAGAGACGTTCTCTGCCCTCCCCCCAGTGCCATGCTAAGGATGCAGCTTCTGTCTTTGGGCTTCATGGTGCTCCTCTGCTCTTAAACCTTCTGTGCCTACTGACGAGAAGTTCAGGCTCCGTTGGCTGGCATTCAGATCCTTCACCAAGCTGATGCCACTAGTCCTTTCTGTGACTTCCACTTTTTGATCAATATGAACTACTTTCTACCATTTAATGTGCCATTCCCCTTATCACCTTCGTTACTTTTTGCTCACACTTTCTCTCCTATGACCAGAATGTCCTCTTCCCCCTCATCCTGTTGAGTTCTGACCTGTCCTTTAGGTTCCAACTCAAATGCCACCTCTTCCATGAAGCCTTCCCTAATTTACCAATCTTTGTAATACCTTGTTTTGTTTTGTGCTTATGTGATACTTTGTATCATGATTAAATATCTCATCCCACTATTAGATTATAAACTCCATGAGTTCAAGGATTTTTTTTTTTATCTTAACTGTCTCCCCAGCACCGAACATGGTGCCTGAGAACATCGTATAGGCAGTTAATTAATGTTAAATTGAATGTTTTTGTTAAGTAGCAGATTTGAGCTACCTGCTCATTTATATCCATCTAAGTCTGCTACAGACTGAGTACAGTATTTGGAATGAATAATTTTTAGCAGAAACACCTCCCTCCTCTCATTGAGTTGTCAGATGTGGGTTCTGTGTCAGTATGTTTGGTTTTGCTGCTTTTCTTTGTGATAAAGGGACAGTTCATGGTGGGGGAGGGGATCAGTGAGGGCAAATATTGAGACGTGTCTGTGGTGCAACATTAAAAGGAACTAGTAAAACTTTTTCTTAAAGTAATATTCAGGCTACCTAGATGTCAAAGGTTATTATATGGCTTCTGAGTTAATGTATTTTAATCTAGGGAAGTGTGGGACCTGGCGTCTTCATCTGAGTTTGGGATGCTAACTCTAGTTTTGTCCTTTCCAGTCTGAACCAGAAGGATTTTCTCATTTCCATCTCTATGTGTGTGCTGCCTTCTTGATTAAGTGGCGGAAGGAAATCTTGGATGAGGAGGATTTTCAGGTAAGTAGACAGAAGCCTACCTTGGGCTTAGATGTTTAGTGTTAGAGTAGCAGCACCACATCTGTGAGCTTGTAGCAAAGACAAGAAAACTAGTTTATTACTTAGTACTTATAATTTGATCCCACACACAGCTGGTATGTTGTAGAGATTTGTGTGATTCCTTTTTAGCTGCTATGGCTTTGAGCATGATGTGATGCTGCTGGAGGAGGCCATACCTACGCCAGCAGATAGATTCCAAGGTTGTTCAGGGCAGCAGTGTGCTGGACTTGGAGTCAGGAAGACCTAGGTTTAAGTACTATCTCTGATACTTAGTAGCTGTGTGATCCTGAGCGAATCACTTAGTTTCTCTGGGCCTCTGTTTCCTCATTTATAAAATGGTACTTAGCCCTCCCTCAGAGGGCTATTATGGGGCTCAAATGATGCTGTATATAAAACACTTTGTAAAACTTAGATGTATAAATATATAAATGCTAAATAAATATCAGCTAAGATTATACTGTACTCTGCTTAAGCTAATAAGGGAGCTAGCTAAATGCTCCTGTTGAGGAAGACAACAGGGCAGCCTGGCAGATTGGAGAGAGATAAGCTAAGGGAAGCAGAAACCTGTCATCCGTGGGTCCCATCTAGAGCACTCAGTACCACCTCAGAACAGGTGGAGATGTCTGCCTCCAGACCCTGCCTGCATATGTGAACAGATCCAGGAGACGCATGGAGGCTGTTTTAAATACGTATACACATAAGGCCTCTACAAAAGTCCTTGTCTGGTGCCTCATCCTGGTTTGGAGGTGACCCCTTAGGGCTGTGCCGGCAGTGCCGGCTCTGGTCAGGTGTGGCCCCCCGGGGTGGATTACGTGTTGTTGTCCAAACACCAAGATGACTGCTGCTGCTGTATCAAGGGGCTTCCAGCCTGTCCCTGAAAGAACATCCTCCCTAGTGAAAGCACAGATCTTTGTATGGACCCACGGAAGCCAGCTCTTTTCTCTGTATCCCCAGGGCTTAGCACAGTGCCTGGCACATAATAGGTGATTAATAAATGCTGGCTGACTGCCTGACTTTTGAAACCAAGTGTGAGAATCCTTGTTATTAGGTGGGTTACTTAACAAGGCCCAGATCCTTTTTAGTTAGGAGCAACATTTGACCTCCTAGGAGAAGGATAATAAGGCAAAAATGGCAACAAGCTTATTAGGCACTTAATGTGTGCCTGGCTCTGTGCTAAGCCCTGGGGATACAAATACAAGCAAAAAGAAACAGTCCCTGTTCTCAAGGAGCTTACATTCTACTGAGGAAATACAATACACAGGAGCTAAAAGGGAGGGGAGAGGGGCAGGGATGGGATGGGGGGTGGGTGTTGAAATGCTGAAAGTCAGAAGCACAACCAGAAGGTTGGCTGGCCTGGGCTCTCCCCGAAATAGACATCATGAGGAACTCTCGCAGGGGAGAAGGAGGAATATTCCGAGGTGAGAAGGCCACGAGCGAAGTGGGATGTCCCCGGGTGAAAAGGCCTGAAGCATAGGCTAAAGGGGAATAAAAAAAGGAGACTGCCCATTGCCCAGTGGTCAGTGTCAGATAGGACCAAGCAACAGAAAAGAAAGGACCTTTGTGCTTGCTACATGAGGATTATGAAGGCTATGGGAACCTAAGCAGTCCTACCAAAAGGAGATTTGTAAATCATTATGAGAATGAAGCAGAACTTAAGGGATGTGTAGGTCCATGCTGCTAAGGGAGGCCTAAGAACAGAGGGAACACAAAGCAAAAAGCATCTGTGGCCTCTGACACCAGACCAGTCAGGTACTGACTAATAAAGCAAGTGTTTTCAAGGCAGCATTTCCGTTTCACTGGGTGGTGCTAGCCTTGATGCCGGTGTCATGAAGCTGGAGCAAGGACCCCCATGCAGAAGAGAAAGGGAAAGCCAGTACCAGACCTACCCCAAATAAAGGATCCAGGAAAGAGAAAACACATTCAAGTGATTCCTAGTCTGTTCTGGACATGCTGCCAAGACTGCTCACAGCTACTGCCACTGAGTGTTATGTGGTAGGTGTTAGAACAAATGAGGAGTATTCTGGGATGGCCTCCTACCAAAAGTATGCTTTCAAATGGAACCTGATATTGAGAATGTCATCTAATTTTATCCTTCTGAACCAGGCTCACAGACCCATTTCAAATATGATGAAGTGCTTTCCAGATCATCTGTAGTGATGATAGATGATTCTTAGAAAAATACACAGGTTTCCTGATATTGTTTTGGTCTGACAGCAAGGTAGAACAGCTTTTAGCCACATGGCTATCAGGTGACCACTTTGAGGGAAGTGATAACCAAGAATGGAAAATGGACAGTGTATGGAAAACGTTACCAGATTTGGAATCAGAAGACCTGAGTATGAATCCCAGCTCTGCTGCATAATACCCTGTATGACTCTGGGCATGTCACTCTCCCTTCTTCATCTTTATATTGAGGACGTTGGACTAAAGTAATCCTGGAGAGCCCTTCCAACTCTGAATCCTATGAAATGATGAAGATTTACTTTTGGGAAACTCTTGTGAAGTATCCTTCTATGCCAAAATATTCCAGTCACCCTTGTGATGATATAAAAAAAAAAATGGAATTTAAGTGAATGCCAATCAAATGGGAAATGGCTGGAAACATTGTAGTATATGAATGCAATGTGATTTTATTAGACAGTAAAGAAACAGTGAATATGAGGAATTCAGAAAAGCTTGGGAAGACCTTATCAACTGATAACAATGAAATTAAAGCCAGAACACAATATTTGCCATGAATCCAATAAGTAAATGAAAACAGTTCTGAAAGGCGGCCACCTGACCTCTCATTAACTGTAATAACCAGTGCTGGTTCCAGAGAACAGACGATGGCAATACTTGGTTCTTTTCAAAGAGGTGGGAGGATGGAGGGTAGGACATGTGGTATTCCATGAAGAGGCTGTTGGTCTGTTTTGCTGAGCTTCTTCCTGTGTTGCAGTGGACTGTTCATTGAGGGTGGCATGGGCATACTGCCAAAGGACTATGATGGAAAAGCAGGAGGCATCAAGAAAACTTTCCAAAAAATAGAATCTTTAAAAAGCCAGATAAAGTTTAGAATGAGTATATGGTTCTCCTATTTTTCCCTTCCTATGCTGGCTCTCTGATTTTTTTCCGCAGACTTCCCAGTTGCTTATTTTGCTTGCCAGTTGGCATCTGAGTGCTTTATGTTTGCTTGGACTCTGCTTTGGACTAGTAGTGTGAAGGTGAAGGAGACAAAATACTCCCATCCCCTCATTTTACATGTGAAGACTTGAGGCCGAGGGGCGGAGCCAAGATGGCGGAGGGAAAGCAGTGACTTGCTAGAGCTCTCCCCCAAACCCCTCCAAATACCTACCAAAAATGGGTCTAAACAAATTCTAAAGCAGCAGAACCCACAAAAAAACAGAGTAAAACAAATTTCCAGCCCAAGACAACCTTGATGGCTGATGGGAAAGGTATATCGTGCTGGGCTGGGAGAAGAGCACAGTTTGGCATGGGCGCACAGGCTGCAGAGACCCTGGAGCAGGCCTCAGAGGACTGAATAGCGGGCAGCTGTGGCGGTTTCCAGACTTCTCAACCCACAAATGCCAAAGACAACTTAGAAGGTCAGTGGGAAAAGTCTGTGTCTGCGGTGAGAGAAGGAGCTAGGTCTCAGCCTCAAGTCCCAAGTGTGGGCAGCGGCTGCCTCCTGAGCTTCTGGCCCACAGACTGAGGGGGAATGAAGTGGCTGATCAGAGGGGGATTGCAGGGATCTCTTTGCCAGGGCTGAGGTAGGAATCTCTTGCTTTGCCTGTGCTTGGATCTGGGTCACAGTTCTGAGGGGCGGTCCTGGGGTGAGGAGGAGCTCTGGCGAGGAGGACCGCTGGCATGGTGGAGCTTGTTGTGGTGATGGAGAGGAAACACCTCGCCCCTTATCATAGCACCTTGGAAGAACTGACACTTTTCAGGTCCATAGAAGTATCTCTGAAAACAGCTGTACAAACCCCCAAAGCTTGGAACAGTACATTCTCCGCATTGGAAACAGACTCTTACCTTAACAAAGAGTTTAAAACTCAAGTAATTGGTTGGGATCATGAGCAAGCAGCGCAAAAAGAGTCAGACTATGTTATCTTACTTTGGTGACAAAGAAGATCAAAACATACAACCAGAAGAAGAAAACAAAGTCAAAGCTTCTACATCCAAAGCCTCTAAGAAAAATATGAATCAGTCCCAGGCCTTGGAAGAGCTCAAAAGGGATTTTGAGAAGCAAGTAAGAGAAGTAGAGGAAAAACTGGGAAGAGAAATGACAGTGATGCAAGAAAATCATGAAAAACAAGTCAACAGCTTGCTAAAGGAGACCCAAAAAATACTGAAGAAAATAACACCTTAAAAAATAGCCTAACCCAAATGGCAAAAGAGGTCCAAAAAGCCAATGAGGAGAAGAATGCCCTAAAAAGCAAAATTGACCAAATGGAAAAGGAAGTCCAAAAGCTTACTGAAGAAAATACTTCCTTAAAAATTAGAATAGAGCAATTGTAAGCTAGTGACTTTATGGGAAATCAAGACACTGTAAAACAAATCCAAAAGAATGAAAAATTGGAAAACAATGTGAAATATCTCATTGGAAAAACAACTGACCTGGAAAATAGATCCAGGAGAGAGAATTTAAAAATTATTGGACTATCTGAAAGCCATGATCAAAAAAAGAGCCTAGACATTATCTTTCAAGAAATGATCAAGGAAAACTGCCTTGATATTTTAGAACCAGAGGGCAAAATAGAAATTGAAAGAATCCACCTATCTCCTCTTGAAAGAGATCCCCAAAGGAAAACTCCTAGGAATATTGTAGCCAAATTCCAGAGTTCCCAGGTCAAGGAGAAAATATTACAAGCAGCCAAAAAGAAATAATTCAAGTATTGTGGAAAGACAATCAAGATAACACAAGATTTAGCAGCTTCTACATTAAGGGACCAGAGGGCATGGAGTATGATATTCTGGAGGGC